AACCCGATTTTTATGCCACATGTTTGTGTAGTCCGATATATGTATTTCTGTGTTGTTGTTGTTGTTTGGTATTATCGGCGTTTCATTCTTTTTTAGAATATTTACGCCTTTCACTTTTTTTCTTTTTTTTCTTCACTATTTGTAAATTCGTACTCTTCTCTTTTTTGGGGGATAATATAATCTCAGATCTACTGGTCCATGAAAACCCCTCACCGCAATTGGCACCTTCCTGCCAGACCGGCAGGAAGGTGTACTGTGTACAGTTCTTGTTACTTTACTGAGACTGGGCCAAATTTCTTATCATTTTGATGATTCCAGAACCTTGCAGTACACACCAATACTTATATGCTACATGAACAACTTTTTATGATTGCACACCGTTTCTTTCACAATGCAATCGCATGACCAGAACTCAACTTTATCTTTAAGCAGGTTCCGCGACAGGATTCAAACCGCGAACCATTGCTTGTGACGGATCCATTAGACCAAGACACCTCTCATTATCATAATCAATGCTGGAGCATTCAATAGAGAGGCAATATTGTGTCTTTTTGCCAAACAGACAATATGAACAAGAATATTGTGAAAATCAAACATTGCAGACATGATTTTGCTTTAAAGAAGCATGACCGCAAAGATGATTGAAAAATCATCATTAGCATATAGCTTGTCCAGGGGCGGATCTAGGGGGGGGGGCACAGGGGACACGTGCCCCCCCCCCCCGGCCCCCCAAAAAATCATTAAAAAAATAAAAAAATTAGTGCTCACTACCCCCCCCCCCTTATTCAGCGGCTGGCCTGAGTCGTTGCAATTTTTTGGGAACCAAAAAAATAATATATATATATGTCCTCTTACCCCCCCCCCCCCCCGCTTATTCAGCGGCTGGCTGAGTCGTTGCGAAATTTTCGGCCCGATTTAAAAATATTAACTCCCCCCCCCCCTTGAAAAAAATCCTGCGTACGCTACTGATTTCACCCTATGCAGTTTTGTGCCCCCCCCCCCCCGGTAAAAAAATCCTGGAACCGCCACTGTTGCCCATCACCCATTTCCAAACATTGCATTGGCGTGCTGGGTAATGCCATCATGCTTGCTACAGAAAACAGGATATAATAGGGGGGGGGGGGTTAAAAGTTGCCCTTGAGTTAATTTCCTCGAAAGCATTTGCGATAGTGATAAACAAAATTGCTTTTCGAATATCTCAAAAGAGATTCAAGTGAACTCAACAATAGTTTTGAAAGATTTTAACGTCATGCTACACAGCACCTTTTATACTCGACGGGAAATTCCCTTTAAGCGTAATTTCCTCGAAAACATTGTCAGGCTTAACATGTCATTGACATTATCAAGTGTACAAAATGTATTGATCTAGACATGTTTCAGGTAATGTCCTACTTTAAAATTGTGCGGGCTCACATATTACTAAATATTTCATCGAATTACAACAACCAAAACAAAATTATAAGGTAATTGAGTACGTGTTGATAACCTGTCCTGTCAAAATCAATTTTTAATGGCCCTTATCAAGGTCAGTTTTATAACACCGATGGAAACAATGGAAATTCGATTTCAAAATGTCAGTTAATTTCTACGAATTAGATATAAATTAATTACAAGTATTGATATGTAGCATTGAAACCCAGTATAAAGTCCCGTTCGCCTATGTGGATCAAGAGGATGTAAGGCCACCCTCCCTTTCCCCTTTTTAGGAACAGATTCCCCCTCCTCGCGCGCTTAGAGTGCTGGAGATCGAAGATCTGGAAAATAAAATAAAAAACACGTGAGAACATTGCTCAACCCCGACACCTCCCAATAACCAAGTGGAGGATTGGTCCGGGAGTGGTCCAAAATCACACGATAAATATTACCGGTAAAAGATCATGCCGCTTAAAATGCATTTAAACGTATTCATAACTACATTTTTAGATAACCAGCCAATGTCTTCCCTATCTTTATAATCATTTCATATTTAGTTGTTAAAGGTACTATGTCCCATTTGCAGACCCAAAAAATGAAAAAGTTAAATTTCAACTGCATTTGAAAGATAATAATAATTTAGAACTTCTCTAAAAAAGGTGGGGCTTGAAAATGTCTACAAGTGGGAAAATAACGACTATTAGTTGTCAAATCGACTTTAGGGCTATAGAGCCCAAAAGTAATAGTCTTGATTTTCAGACATTATTGTACCGAATGGTCATACGTTTTATGCTGCGCAAAGACTCAATCAGTTTAATCTTGGCCATCACAAGAAGTGGGTTATTGATGTAGACAAATGCTCATGTACCCTTTACAACTCTTTTCATGTATGTTATTACCAAAGAAGAAAAAAGCCAGTCAGTCACTCAATAGTGTCTGACAGTGAAGTCTAGCAAGTAAACAGGTTTCCTTGCATAATATGAATATGAGGACACTGCTAACGTTTAAATTTCACAGATAGGACATACATGACATATTCATAATTCCTGCAAAGTTCTACAGCATTTGCGGTTAGCTGCAAAAGGGACATAGTACTTTTAACAGTACTGACTGCTAAGAAAGCATGTGTATCACAGTAAGCAGCTAGACGACCGACGGTTTTCAATCCTCTTCAAGAGACGTGGCAATGAAAATTACTGCCCTACCAATTGGCTCTAGCGCCCCTACTTGGTTTTGAACCAGGGACAACCGAATTACGAGACCACTGCACTATAAGTAATGTAATCACAGCATAATTACAAAATAGAAATTCCATAGAAAAGCACATACTTGTTTGGTGGAAAAATTCAATGCGTTCGTGTCACCATTTCAGTGTAGCCATTAATAAATGAGAGATGGGGAGGCAATGAATGCTTTTAATGCCATTATTACGCATGAATGCGAATGTTCACATTATTTTATTTTGGTATCCCGGGTTCGGATTAATTTTCCCGCGTTCTCGCTCATCATCTCTCATATTCGACGAAAACCCAAGGACATCAAAATAAAGATTTTTTTTGTTGGTTTTCCCGCAGCGACTGAAGCACACAAATTAAAATCATGTCATTTGATTAAGTAAATGGAGGGTACGTAATATTAGGTAGCGTGGTTGGGAGAAGATGTTATACCTTAGTCACACCGACATTAGATCGGCACTAGACCGACACTACACCGATATTTGGACCGACATTAGACCGACGTTGGACCGACATTGGACCGACATTAGGCCGTCATAAGACCGACATCGGATCGACATTGGACCGACATTGGACCGACATTACACCGACATTACACCGACTCTAGACCGACACTAGACCGATCAACAACAAAAAATATCTCCTAATCAGTGGCGTAGCATGAATCTATCGCTTGTGGGACCATTTGAAAGACTAATTGGGGCATTGTTCTTACTCGGTAAAAAGAAATGGGAATTTCCAAGGCTACTGGTCATTTTGTAGGGCCCGGGAGGTGTTTCAGGCCTAAGTAATTGTTCGTTCTTTTACTGTGTTCCCTTTCTATCTGTCTCTTTTCTCGTCTTTTCTTTATTTCAATTAAGAATCGGTCGATTCGAAGTCAGTCTGGAGTCTGTTGGCTGGTGTGACCGGGGCCCTTGTATTGAGTGTGATTGGCGTTAATGTTCTGCATGTGAATGCGAGTGAGTATAATATATGGAGCATAGTAATTTGCCATGTGCACTTTTCGCTGAAAGTAATGAAATAGTCCATTAAGGGAACCGGTAACTTTGTCTCAGATTCTGAAACAAAATTCTGGATTTAGCTCATGATGCAGTGATAATTATAAACCTTTAGGTCAGTCAGGAACCCCATGACTTTTACAAGCCGATCGCCTGTCTGATTATCAAGATATTTATGATTGGAATTACAAATTTTGAAAACCGTTCGCCTGACGGTTTTAATAACACTACAGTCTATTGGGGGAAAACGAGTATGGTAAAACCGGTCACTCAAAGATTTTTACTTTTTTGAGGCACTTCTTGATCATTTTGAAGCGCAATTTTTTTAGGGCTTCAATATTACACCATATCACAGACACCGATAACACGTAGGGCCGTGCATCTCAGATTTAACATTGTTAAACGATCCCATTAAATTGAACGTCTATTAGATTTGAAGTCTATTTAATAAGGGGCCTTCGTTTTGTATAGCTGCTGTCTAGTTAATCCATCAGTATGAGACGGACAATAAAATTCTACATCCTGAGTTAATAGTGCAAAGTTAGGTATAGAACTCACTTTTTTAACGTTTGGTTCCCCCGGTATATTATGCACTTAGACCTTTCTCTCTTTTTTTGGCGGGAACATGCAGGTAACCACCACCCCCCCCCCAAAAAAAAGGAGAGACTGACATAGAAGTTCCTCAATCATGAATTTGAGTTCTTTAATTTAATCCTGCTTTCTATAACGTCATTGTACGCTTCTTACAATAAAGACCTACGACTCTACCCCAACGAAGCCCTGCAAACAGGTTGTCGGTAGAATCATCTTCTAGAATCATTATTCTTCCCCCCAGAATATATATTTTTTGTTTTCTAAGCATATAGAGAGCAGCCCCAGTTTATCGTGCACCTAATTAAAGTATCTGTTATCCTTTTATCATTATATCATTTAATATTATTATCGTTATAATTATTATCCTTATTATTATCATTACTGTTATTATTTTATCATTATTATCTTTATCATTACCATTATTTTCATTACTATTATTATCATCATCATTATTATTATTATTTTATTTTGTATGTGAATGTTTCATTTTGGATGATTTAACTAATGTGTTGGCCCTTTGTAGTGGTGGACACAATATCAAACATTTCAAATTAATCAATTGATCACAGTCATGGATGCAAGTCATGCAACAGATGAAACTGAAACAATCTAAAACCGTAAACACCAAATAATTATAATCCCTAGACGAGAGAGGGCGGTATGATTCTAGGGGGAAATCCAACACTACCAACCAACCAGCACTGCGAGCTACCTGAAAAACAGACTCATCGGAAGTTGCCCGTATAAAACAAAAAGGACGGATAATACCAAAAATAGTGGCACACACTGCACGCGACCAACGCGATTACATCCGCATCTGACACACATACTGTGCACGCATATCCGAAAGCTGAATGAAAAGAGGGGCATGAGCTGAAGTGTTGAAACATGGAGTGCAGACGACAATCGCCAAAATGACTTTGAAATATGATCGCCCATTCGGCCGACACAGACATTTTCATGACCATGGTGACACAGTTTGGAATACCAGGATTAATAATGCAGTAATAGACGGACCTAATATTGATAAAGTTAATTGTTGCATCCAGGGACACAGGACTCGCACATCAAGACAAATGCGGAAGAAACGGTATAAACAAAATACAGGAATATATAGCTGCGGGCATTGTATACGGACTACCAGTGACAGAGGTACCAGTGAGGTACGGGGGAGGTCCGGGGGACCGCTCCGATGGTCTGACGGTGGAAGTGGTGGTAGGAGTTTTGTGACGCCGATGACTCGGCCAGCTTCTTTGGGGTCTTCAGACGTTGCGATGATGAATTTGTTATGGAGTTTGCTTCTTCTCGCCACTTTTGCTTTTAGTGAGTCCTTCTCAAAACTTTACACTTTCAGTATATTATTTCAATTGTTGTATGCGTAGAACTAAAAAGTTCGAGTAAACAGTGCGTGTGTATGTGTGCGAGTTAATGATAATATTTCTTTATTTGTGCATGTATATGCTCTGATGATTCCCCCGTCCTTCTCGTCAATTATTTCGAGGATGAAGACGAATGAGAAAGGTAGAGAGAGGGAGAGAGAGAGAGGGAGAGAGAGAGAGAGAGAGAGGGAGAGAGAGAGAGAGAGAGAAAGGGGGGGGGGGGAAGGGAGATAATACATCTATTCATCTCATCAATAATATCTAACATAAACTTCCCAATAAATTGAAAAGAAAGAGAGAAAGAAAAAAACAAGAAATTATAAACCACAGTGATGTGTCTGTCCAAACCTCTTGACTTCGAAGTGGTATCAATTTTCCGATGAGGATCCCAATATATTAATGTGGGCATAGTTTGGCGTATTCAAAATTTATCACAGAAAATCACTCTTGTATATTAAAACAAAAATATGTTAAACACCCAACATTGTACTAGAACAGACTTCTAAAGGTAAAAACCAGTATTGGAAACGCCCCAATTTTAAAAAAATGAAATGGAAGCTCTCATTACCAATCATGCGAAAGAATATATTTTGACTAATACATGATGATAAAAAATTTGCCGGGAAACCGCCCACTTATTCATATATTTGGTAAATTTGTTTTTCTCGTGGTCTGTGAGAGATATAGGGTAGTCCCATATACATATTTCTGTGTATAGTGCTTGTAACTTTACGAAGAATGGGCCAAATTTCTTATCATTTTTATGATTCCAGAACCTTGCAGATGCTAGATGCTAGATGATCAACCTTTTCTGATCGATTCCACAACGTTTCTTTCACAATGCAATCGCATGACCATAACTGGTCTTTACCTTTAAAAAGATCGAAATGTTGTAACTTTAAAGATACGACAGGCTACTTTGATATAATATCACCCAAACAAACCAAGTATAAGGGAACATTATTTGCCCTATAGTCTAGCAGTATTGACCCAATGTCCAAATCTTTTGTTTGAGTGTATACACGAAGGTCTATTAAATCTTACGGAAACAGGATATTGAGCGAAATAAAGCCACAGGCCGATTGTTTACTAAAACAATGGTTCTAAAAAACAACACAACGAGGTACTCTCAACTAACTGTGGAACTTGTCTCCCGACAAGGAAAATAGTTTTGAACTTTTTATCACCTGCAAGGTGCTCAGTTTGCAGTGATTGCAATACACGTGGGTTACCATTGTATGTAATATTCAGATGAGCAATTTGATATTTATCTTTTAAAATTTGACCCTAATACCGAACATTTTAAATGAAAAGTTGCACGCAGCATCACAATTTTGTCAAGGTAACATTTGTCAAGGGTGTATACTGGAATCGAGAGCTAAATCGTTTACTACTCCCGTGAATTTGTTACTATATACATGTATATAATATACTATATACTTACTATCATGTAATTTGATTTGCAATCCACATTTTTTAGTTTTTTTTATATCTAGATCTAGTGGAAATATTGTCTGTGATATATTTTTGAATAGGAGTTTACAAGTATTCATAGAACAGTCAACACCTTCATACATGTAAATCCTAATACATAAATATCCCCCAAGAATTGATAATAATTGATTATAATTTATATCATGCATGGTGAACTGTGAACTCATTTACCGACTCTATCTATCTATCAGGCTATAGTTCATCCAGACGTTAGACAAAGCCCTCCTCATGAAATTTCCATTCTCTTCTGTCTCTAGCTGTCCTAGTCCAAGCGACCGATTCTGCTTAAAGTTAATTGGATGACGAGTTGAGAATACATGGACCGTTAACTCATTCATTAGGTGCAATGGAATGCGAATAGATGTGTCACTTATGATATGAATAATTGAGTTTGTGGTTTATGTCAACTCTGAGTCATAAAACAAACAAACATACAAACCCAGTATACATCCTGTATCTAGAGGTTATGGCCCTAGCATGATTCGGGAAAAACAGTACTTACAGATAAACTTGAGTTCTGGTAAAAAAAAGAAAATTAATTTTCACAGAATCTAACGAAACTTACACTGAATGTTCAAGATTACAAATAAATGACATGTGTCAAACAATTTTGGAATAAAATGTATACTGGCTGAGTAATGAGCATTGAAAGATAAGGAAATCAGGGTAGTACTAGCCCCGACACCATGTGTGCTGTCCCATCTTCCTGTGTAAGTGATTGTTACTTTACCAAGACTCTGCCAAATTTATGATGATTTTGATGACTCCAGAACCTTGCATTACACACCATTACTTACATGCTATATGATCAACTTTTCTGATCCATTCCACACCTTTTCTTTCACAATGCAATCGCATTACCAGTACTAAAGTTTATCTTTAACTAGTTCGTACGGATTGATTTGTTGTACAAACAAACAAGGGACATTGAATGTAATTAGGCCTACTTTCTAGGTGTCAACAACTGCAGATTTCCTCTGCTAAGACAGCTGTACTCAAAGCTACGATCATTGCATTGTCATGGTTATAATATCAAAAGCTGAAGTATCTTGTAAGTATTCGCTTTCTTTATAATAATAATAATAATAGCTAGTTCTTATATAGCGCTTTTCAGGACCGGAGGCCCTCTCAAAGCGCTTTACAGATATATATCAGGCTTACCCGCACACAATGTATGCACATTCTCCACTCCCTGGGGAGCATTCTAGCCAGGCGTCTTTTTTACAAGCGCACACATGCTAATCTCACCACATTAGCTTTCGCATCCTACCGGGTACACATTTACACCTGGGTGGACACTGGAGAGTGGCAAATGTAGATCAATGCAGGGACTTGTTAGTTGACAATGTACGTACATCATCTTCGCTATAGCAGGGACAAGTCCCTGGCTATAGCAAGGAAAACTCATGTAGGGTCCATGGATAGAGCACGGATTTAAGAGCACGCCATGGTTATAGGCTATGTAGCCCTTTGCCTTTGGAGATTACAAGTAGAAGAAGGAAGAGAATAAGATGAAGAAGGAGAAGATGATGATGTAGAAAAAGAAGTTGAAGAAGAAGAACATGATGATGATGATGAAGAAGAAGGAGGAGAAGATGCAGAAGAAGAAGCATAAGAAGGAGGAGGAGGAGAAGAAGATGGTGATGATGACGATGATAAAGAAGAAGATGGTGATGATGACGATGATAAAGAAGAAGAAGATGATGACGATGATAAAGAAGAAGAAGATGAGGAGGACAAGGAAAAAAAGAAGAAGATTTACGAAGCAGGGCTTTTGAAAAAGCTATCGTACAAAAAAAAAGCTTGTCATGCTGAAAACGTGAGAAAGAATCAGATTATTAAATTGTGAACAAGTTTTGATGCACCATCCTTATTGCCTAACTATACATGTACATGTATGGAGCTTGACTACATCTTAAGTAGCCTAAATCATATAAATGATGTTTTCAGCTGGAAATGTCCCCTTTGGTTTGACCTTTCTGATTATAATAATATATGATATTATAATATCATTATATAATGTATTTAATGAACATACAAGGTTGACATTGACTAGAAAAGTATTTGAGTATAACATGAGTCATATACTTAGCGTAAGCAAGGACAGATATTCATTTCTCACAATCGTCATTTTAGATTTCGCCAAACTTTTGTATATGAAATGTACTTTTTTGACCCGGATGTTTCAGTAGTAAGGTCCTTCCTTCCTTCCACACCCCATTATACCATAATTTTCTATATTTTGGAATTGACAACTTTTCAAGAAGTAGTGCTGACACTACTGCATACAATTTGTAGTACTATTGGAGTTGTAGTTCTTTTACACCCCTCACGTTCTCTCTTTCTCTGTCTCTGTCTCTGTTTCTCTCTCATTTTTTTATAGTTTTTTTTAGTTTTTTTTTTTTATTTTTTTTTGGGGGGGGGGGGGGTATGTGCTCCGTGTTCACCCGTAAAAGTACTGTAGATGTACATGTGCAGTACGTAACCCTTCTATTCTTTCTATTTGTTTAACATCACTTTTCACTGTGCCGCTACAAAAGTAAGGGTTGTTCCTACATGTATATATAGGCCTACTGATTGTTCCGAACATAAATATACATGTTTAGCGTCTCCGTCCGCTTCCTTTTTGGGGGCCTCCTCCTATTTTTATTAATTAAAAAAAAAAAAAAAAATTTTTTTTTTTTTGTTGAAATTTTGTTTTGATTTTTTTTTTTTAAAGAAAAAAAAACATGAAAAACACTGCTAAAATGGATCTATTTCTGATCGATTGAATAACTGATTAATTAATTAATCGATTTACTTGCTAAATTGAATCCAGTGACCGGGGTATAGTAAGCGCTTTGAGTCAGTAAAGCGCTATTATTATAATGAGAAGACGAGGAGTCATGCTTCATACATTTTGTAATCATCAGTCAATGTCCTTGTGATCAGTGTAGTCAGGAAAGACGGATGGCTGTCTAGTGTTGATTTACTTCCGGTAAACATGGTGTAATGTGCATGTCATGTGTTAATGTTAGCCAAAATCCTCCCTGCCTGTTTCTGTGCTTCATATCCGATTATTTTCCTGAGTAGTCGCAAACGCACAATCTAGAGACACACCTGTGTTAGTGCCCTTTGGTAAGGCATTAATCCTCATTACCAGGTCCCTCGGAGAGGACCTTTAGCAGTCGGTCGGCTGGTTGCTTACTAACAAGCATTTACGCTTTCTTAGCAGTCAGGTAAAATAACCACCACCACATAATTATACCACATATTACATGTATATGTCTGCGATTTCATCACGATCCGTTTCATAGAGCACGAAAATGTACGTCCACACTATACGATCCAACTGCGATCTTAATCTTTGAAGAAATCATAATGCTTATTTTAACAACTTTAATCTTCCTGATTTATGTTTGATTGATTAAATGATATGACCTAATTGAAATCAAGATTTTAGTCCGCTTG